AATCTCCAACTCAAGCATAACGATTTTTACAATGCCAAGTAGACAATTAAATATTAGAGTTTAGAGCCATTATAGTCCATTCTTAATCAGGGACTAATTGATATTTATCTATTCAGAGGGCAAACCTTACTTACCATTATTAGGATTAGAAGCTGAACTAGAACGGCTACAATCTATACCACTATAACCATCTAGACATTCACCATTACAACTACCATCAACTTTACTACAAACTGTACTCTTATTTATACAATTTCTCTCTGAACATTTCTTATTACAGTTTTCACCATAGAAACCATCATCACATTCTAAATATATCAAGTTCGTTGTTAATTAAATAAAGACAACTTTAGTTAATCCTAAATATCACGAGACAAGAATTACAATATCCATCTCTTAATAGATATAAAATTCAAAAGCAACCAACTTTTGGTGCAAAGAGAGTTTCGTTTTGGTATATACATCAACCATTAAAATTATCATAAATTACTCTTGAAGTTAATAAATTAAAAATATAGAATCATAGTTCGTACTTTGATCTGGTACTACCGGCATTGTTTGACTACAGTCTATACCACTATAACCATCTAGACATTCACCATTACAGCTACCATCAACTTTATTACAAACTGTACTGTTATTTATACAATTTCTCTCTGAACATTTCTTATTACAGTTTTCACCATAGAAACCATCACCACATTCTAAATATATCAAGTTTGTTGGTTAATTAAAGGGAAAATGGCGCCGTTTTGAGGGGTTGATCTGAATCTGGAATATATGTAAATAGTATTCAGAAGGCTTAGAAATGTACGAAAGTCGCATAATTCTTTCAAAAATATCTCAAACTAGGAATTTCTTTCCCTATTTTTAAAGATGTCTTTTCTCTATATTGCATTATACTTTGACCTGGTACTATTGGAATCGTTTGACTACAATCTACACCATTATAACCATCTAGACATCCACCATTACAGCTACCATCGACTTTACTACAAACTGTACTGTTATTTATACAATTTCTCTCTGAACATTTATTATTACAGTTTTCACCATAGAACCCATCATCACAATCTAAATATATCAAGTTCGTTGTTAATGAAAGAGATATAACATTAATAATAAAAGAAAATATCTTTCAATCAACCACCCTACACAACATACACTTCACACAAAGCCTGGTTTACAACCATCAAAAAATATCTACTGTTAATATTATTATATACTGTACTCACTATATTATATTTACCTTGTGTACAGTCAATTGATATGAAACCTAGTTGACAACCATCAATATAATATCTACTCTATTAATATTATTATATACTGTACTCACTATATTATATTTACCTTGTGTACAGTCAATTGATATAAAACCTGGTTTACAACCATCAATATAATATCTACCATTAATATTATTATATACTGTACTCACTATATTATATTTACCTTGTGTACAGTCAATTGATATAAAACCTGGTTTACAACCATCAATATAATATCTACCATTAATATTATTATTTACTGTACTCTCTATATTATATTTACCTTGTGTACAGTCAATTGATATAAAACCTGGTTTACAACCATCAATATAATATCTACTATTAATATTATTATATACTGTACTCACTATATTATATTTACCCTGTGTACAGTCAATTGATATAAAACCTGGTTTACAACCATCAATAAAATATCTACCATTAATATTATTACATACTGTACTCACTATATTATATTTACCTTGTGTACAGTCAGTTGATATAAAACCTGGCTGACAACCATCAATATAATATCTACTATTAATATTATTATATACTGTACTCACTATATTATATTTACCTTGTGTACAGTCAATTGATATAAAACCTGGTTTACAACCATCAATATAACATCTACCATTAATATTATTACATACTGTACTCACTATATTATATTTACCTTGTGTACAGTCAATTGATATAAAACCTGGTTTACAACCATCAATATAATATCTACCATTAATATTATTATATACTGTACTCACTATATTATATTTACCCTGTGTACAGTCAATTGATATAAAACCTGGTTTACAACCATCAATAAAATATCTACCATTAATATTATTACATACTGTACTCACTATATTATATTTACCTTGTGTACAGTCAGTTGATATAAAACCTGGCTGACAACCATCAATATAATATCTACTATTAATATTATTATATACTGTACTCACTATATTATATTTACCTTGTGTACAGTCAATTGATATAAAACCTGGTTTACAACCATCAATATAACATCTACCATTAATATTATTACATACTGTACTCACTATATTATATTTACCTTGTGTACAGTCAGTTGATATAAAACCTGGTTTATAACCATCAATATAATATCTACCATTAATATTATTATATACTGTACTCACTATATTATATTTACCTTGTGTACAGTCAATTGAAATAAAACCTGGTTTACAACCATCAACACAGGTGCCATTCATACTGTCACAATTTTGATTCTGTAAACAATTTCTATTTATACACATTTTCGAACACTCTTTGCCGTATGAGGCTTCGGGGCATTCTGAAAAAATATCATCATATTCAAATAATTAATTGACTTGATACACATATTAATTCTTTGAATTTAGTGAAATTGACTATTGGTCTAAACAAATTTTTTTACCAAATCCGTACAACAAAGTTTGAATTAAACGTTTGTGCATTAATTGAAAGAAAA